AATGGAGATTATATTTTGATTCTCTCATAAATGCAATATCAAGAGGTGAGTTGATTTTTGTATGTTACAAAAATTAAAATCAAAATCAAATTGTCATTATTGAAAAATTCAGTAGTTTAGTGAGAAATCATCAATATATAAGGTAAAATTGTAAGAAAATATTTCATTCTTAATTTTATATTTTCATGATTAAATTATACTATATACTGTTTATGATTTTGATATTTTTTTCAAGATATAGTATATAGATTACTTTTATAAAATTGTGTAATTCCCATCTTCTTTATAAATTATATAATGTTATATTTCAAAGTTAAGTTATGATGTCAATATTATAACATAATCAATTTATTATAGACGTTTAGATTCTTACAAGATTTTTATACATTTTGATAGTAATATTTATATCACCAAGATGAAATCAAGTATATAATTTTTTATGGATAGTTAAATAAGTAAACATTTTGATAGCCATTTCTCTCGTTCTCATAGCAATTTGGAATGGTGTTTCTTCGGCGGTCGTGTTTGTCTGGCCAGATATGTGGAGTCTATTAGGCTCTTTGAATAGAAGTCTCTGGTGTTTCTAGACCTGCGCTCTATGTCCTCTGCGCTGGTGGTGGTCTATGTCGGTAGTGGCTCAATGGCTCTTACGGTTGTAGTATATAGAGATCCTACAAAATTGGTCTCCGATCTTTGGAGTTTGGAATTCAGTTGTGAGATGGTGACAGTGGCAATCCATGGATCTTCCTTGACTCCTTGTGTGGTGTTGGTGGTGTCGGTCACACAAGGGATGTCTACTGGTGTCTTCATTGAGTTTATGTTGTTGGGTCAGTTTGGTTCAGACTTGTACAAATATTTTGATTGAGTAGCAAGCATTAAAAACGCCTAATTAAGTATATTTAAATTTAGTACTCAATATAAGCACAAGCTTTACCAAGTTTTCTAAATTAGTGAACATATTTAAAATTTGGTAAATACATATATTAGAAGTTAATTATTTTAACTAAAATTGACAAAACAAAATTCTATTACATTTTTTAAATGGTATAAATTATTATTTCAAAATTGTCAGCTGTGATATCTTCTATGTAATATTTCTCATAATTTATAATGCATAATTAATCAGTGTTAAAAAACCAAATAGAATTATAAATAGCTAACCCAAAACCATAAATATCAAAAATAGAATTATTTCAAAAGGATCCCTGAAATTTTTACAGGAATTTCACGAGTATATTTCTCCTTGTTTCGTTTTAGTTGGTGTTTAAGGTTTTGCACAATATTAAGCAAACATAGATTCTTTATTATTTAACTTGGTTACTTAAAAATAAAATCAATTAAAACTATTTCAACCAATAAATATGCAGTATTTTATAACTGATCACAAATTTCAAATGATATTAAATTTATCTAAAATAGTGAAAAATTTACTAATTATGAAACGAAATAGTGAGAACATAACTTATCATGATTACAAAATAAAAAATATATGATTACACTATTTTATAGTGCTCATAACAAAGAATCCAATGATTCCAAGATCCGGTCATTATGACTATCAAATTGCTCGGAAAAACCATTGGAATATTGGCCATAGACATTTATCCAATAAGACAGTTACACCAATCCCTCTACATGAATAAAAATGACTCTAAACACTAGATGACTCGATAAACTTAATAGACTTGATTACCTAGATAAGTCTCAACAAGAGTAAAAAAAAGACTCCATAAAAATGAATTTTGAGAGTATAAACAATGAATACACTGCATGATGAGTTGGTAGCATTTTCAGTCTTAAACTAGTCGTTTTTAATAAATATGGGATTTTACTCCAACATTTGGTGAACATGATGTATTGAAACCTCTGGAATTTGGTGTAAATTAAGAGAATAGCTATAATACAATTTCATTTTTTCATAAATTAGATTCTATGTTGTATTTATTTTGGCCATGAACAGTCATGGTTAATTATGAGTAATTTCCTTCATTCTCCTAAAAACGGTCTCATTTCACATTCTCAAAGTGTTTGCGATTAATTTTGTTTAACAGAGCATCACGTACTATTCCACTTGTATCTCAAAACTATGGACACGAATCATTAAAAGAAATTGTTTATCCTCTAATCCTTATATGTAGCATTGATTAACCATCCTAGGAATTAGGTATAAACCAATGTTTGACAGATTCAGTTTGACTTAATTGTTTCTATGAACTTATTTCTTGGAGTCTCTAGTCATTAACGTAATGATACCGCAAAATCTCATCTTATAACTCATTCTGATTAATAATATGACAATTAGATCTTATTACACACCTTAATAATTGGATCCTAAAGTTTTGAGATTTTAATTGTTCCATGTACTCAATATTTTAGTTATAGCTTTTCCATCAATTGAATTAGTTGTGTGTAAGGACTACTATCCCCGACATTTTCTGAATTAACTCAGAAATTATTATTTTCCTTTATTTTGGTCAAAAAAATTTATTACTTTCCAAATTAAATTTTTTTAAAAAATTCTAAACCGCACTTTTTTATGTGACTTACATCTCTGTGTTAATTTGTTCTCTTTACAAGAGAGGGTGAGAGTTTTCTTTTTAGGTTTTATGTGTAGATATTTGATTTTCTTTTCTCTTAAACAATATTTTTTCATGAACAAAAGATATTGTTGAAAAAACTCAATCAATTAATTACATACTGCATTATTCTATACTGAATTGAAGTAAAGGAAACGTGCCTTGCACATTTCAAAGTAAGACTGTCTTAACACGCCTTTTGACCAGTCCAACTTGAACATAATCAAAATTTATAGAAAATCCAGCTTTGCTCTAAAGAAAACTGGAAATCATATTATTCTACATAATTTTTATATGCTTCACATTCTTAAGAGGTATCTTTTTTCTGAGGCCAGTTGAAGCTTCACTTCTTCTTTGCCTTCAATCTTGGATGATCCAGTGTTATCCATTAAGAGTCGCTCCTAACTGTTACATTTTTGATACGTACAGTAAAAACAGTATAAATGAATACACATAAATTAATAAACATCATCAATTAATAAAAAACTAGGTGACCGGCCCGCACCCTGTGCGGGTTTATATACAGATTCAAATTAGGGACTTAATAATACAAAGTTTTAGAAGTAATAGATTTTATATCATAAGACCACCGTCTTTGAGGTAAAGCTTCAGGCACAAAAAAAAATGCCGGTACACAATATTTTACATGGAGGAGATGGAACAAGGTAACTTCAGTATCAATAGGTAGTTATTGTTTATAATTGCAACATCACAAAAAAAATTGTGTGTTTAAGGTTGAATTTTATTTTCCAAATCTGAAATTAATAGTGTGTAGTTTTATAAGTAACTTATTTTCTATTATCACTAATTAGAATTGTATTGTATATGTGTTGTAATTCTTTATTTTAGGTGAAAATATTATTATGCATAAATTTTTCGTAAAATGTATGTAGACAGATTAAAAGAAATGTTACACATATCCCTCTCTCTCTCTCTCTCTCTCTCTCTCTCTCTCTCTCTCTCTCTCT